AAAAAATCAATGGTATGAATGGCAGTTTCACTTCCTTTGGCCTTGGAGGACAGAGCTCAGATTCCTCTCTGCCTTAAACAGCTCATTTCAGATCGGTCTTCTTTTCTTGGTTTTACCCTTGAGCACCACAAACATATAATGTGAGACCTGTGAGTGAGTTATTCATAAAACAGCAGCACCATTTGTGTGCTAGTAAATAAATACTTAAAATCTGCTTGTTCTGACATTCTGTTTACTTGAAGATGGCAAATGGAAATTCTGCCTTTTGGTTAAAAGAATCAATCACCTTTATGATGGAGCTAGTTTACTTCTCCAAATCTTTTGAACAGAATAATCCACATGTATAAAACTTGCAGGCAGAATTGTTAAGCATTAATCAAAACAGTTTTCCGGCCACATGGAGTAAAGCCGTTTGGCCTAATCTCTTATGAATAACTTCTGTAAGAAGCTTTGGGGCAGTCTGCCAAGAAACACACTTGGGCAGATGATTTAGACAATTCATTAATGAATGAACAATTTGTTTATTTACTAGCAAGGAAAAGTTTGGCGCATGATGTAACAATGAAAATATTTATTTACTTGCAGCAGTGGAAAAATTCAAGATTGATCAAGAATGTATGTGGAACAATGTCAGAGTTTCTACATGACGTTTTAGCTGACTTGCAGGAAAGGGCATTCTTGATCAACCAACGGCAAAACCTTTTCAACACAGCAAGCTGCTAGGACTGGAAGCAGCTTATCATATTAACTTTATCGAACGCTTAAGGCCATTCCATTGGTAATAGATGGCTTTAAGAGGATAAGTTCAACCAAATACAGCTACCCTGTTAAAATCTGTAACCCTGAAAACAAAATAGGTCCACTGTCTCATTACAAAACCATGTAAAACAAGCTCAGAAATAGACAAGCCAACAAAATCTTGATCAACTGACCTTTTCTTTAGTACGCAACTCATCAAACATTTCTTGAATCTCCACTCTCCAGTCCTCCTGCATTGAGTGGAAGGAGTCCTGCGGCATGGTGGCCATCACAGCCTCCTCTATGGCAGTCAGCTGCTCCAAGATGGAAGCAAAGGACGGACGGATGTGGGGATCCTGCTCCCAGCATTCTAGAAGCACAAAATATGTTAGAATCTATCTATTGGTTATCATTACAATGACCTTTCATTGCTGATTGCAGTGGGACTTGTTCACACTCAAGCCCTGTTCACGCCACCAGCAACACACAGTAACATGATCCTATTCATATCAATAGAGAGCTGCCGATTTAGGCAAAGTAGGCATGACCAATGGCACGACAAAGTTGAGAAATGTTTAACTTTATGCAAATGAAGAGCATCTTTCAGGAACAACTTCCAATAGAAATGAAGACTGTGCTAGAGGAGCTCAGATCATCCATCTCAAGTGCAAGCAAGACAGGACAGAATGGAGCAATTTCCCTTTTCTATATGATTTGTCTGTAAAAACATACATGGATATAATAAAATAATATGTGGAACTGTCTGCAGTCTCAGTGAGTTTGATTCATACAATGATTATATAATGCATTGCAATGAGCTGTTTAGCACTGATGCAGTTTGTGCTAACACAGTTTCCTTTGTATAATATTCATTAGTAGAGACAAACTGTTAATTTTTCACAATCAAATGTTACCCTGGACCACAAAACCGCTTTTTTTTTTCAAGTCGCTTGGGTATATTTTTAGCAATAGCCAAAAAAACATTGTATGGGTCAAAATTATCGATTTTTCTTTTATGCCAAAAATCATTAGGATATTAAGTAAAGATCATGTTCCATGAAGATATTTTGTAAATATCCTACCGTAAATACATCAAAACTTAATTTTTGATGAGTAATATGCATTGCTAAGAACTTCATTTGGACAACTTTAAAGGCGATTTTCTCAGTATTTTGATTTTTTTTGCACCCTCAGATTCCATATTTGCAAATGGTTGTATCGCGGCCAAATATTGTCCTATCCTAACAAACCATACATCAATGGAAAGCTTATTTATTCAGCTTTCAGATGATATATAAATATCAATGTCAAAAAATTGACCCTTATGACTTGGTTTTGGACATGGACAGCATGGTTTTGGACATGGACAGCATGGTTTTGTTGTCCAGGGTCACTCACAAATGAGAATTTCTTGGCAGTAGGACTAATTTTAGTCTACTAAAATCTAGTCTAATTCAGCACTAATTTTAATTAGTGGTCGACCGATATGGGTTTTTTGACAGCCGGTGCCGATATCTTGGAATGTATTCGATATAAAGCCGATATAATTGTATTTATATTTAAGAAATTTGAAATCATTTGAAAATGGATTAAAAATA